TGCACCCATTTCGCCACGTGGCACAACCCAAGACTCTTCTTGATGAATATTGTTATAGTCATTACCACATTCCATATTCACCCCAAAGAGCCTTAGTCTCTTTCCCGCGTTAGGAGTACTCGGCGGAGGAAGCGGCGGCAACATCACCGGAGTTAATCTTCCGGGAACCACAGGGACTGATTCTATAACCAACGGTTGTGATCCAACAATGTTCCTCTGATCCAACGGTGATCCCGTGTAGTAACACCTTCCTGCTAAATTCCCATAACCATACCCTACAAACTCTTGACGCTGATTGTTATAATACGAACGTTGGTGGTTTCCGATGTCCAAGCTCCGGTGTATCGGGACGGAGTTAAATTCGGGCAATGGATGAAACCGAGAAGTTGTCGGAAAATTGAAGTTGAAACCGTAATTACCAAACTGATGTGTTTGAACTAGGCTCATGTCGGGTCTATGCCTCCAATCTATGTAAAGTTTGGATCTTTCAGACTCATCACCGATTCCTCTTTGGAAAGAGACGATGTCTCCTGCGTCGAGCTTTTTCTCTTTGACGAAACGGCTCCAACCTTTGGTCATGACGTAGCTCTGGCTTGAGTTCCAATATGAGTAACGAAATCTCCACATCTTGCCGTTTCTGTCTTGGAAATTCAACAGCGTGCCGTTTTGGTTGTTTGATGAGTCTAGTGGGAAATATCTCTCCGCGTGTTGTTTAGGGATTACGAGTCGGTTGAGTTTTCCGACGTCGCTTGGTGTTACAACTTTGTCGAACATGTGTTCTTTCTCCGGTGGAGGAACCATCATCATCGGAAGGTTGTTGGTGCCGGAGCTGCTGCTAGCTCCGATGTTTGAGGTCAATTCTTGGTCTCTGTCTTGTTCTTGGTCGGAGCATGTTGTTGCTGTCGGAGCTAGGGATAGATCCATGACGAATTCTCTTGTTTTCCTTGGAGTAATCTTGGTTTCTTGAATCTTCTTTCTTGTTGTTGATGTAGATGAGGTCTTAGTGATTCTTGAACAAGATTACTCCTATTTTTTTAACTTGTTCTGGGACCAAAAAAAAATTCTCTTTTTTTTGCGTGAGATGGGTCTTAGTGAATCTTGATGAAGAGTAAACCTTTCTCTTGTTCTTGAATTGAGGAATTGTTGTGGTCGTTGTTCATAGTCATTGACGTTGATGACTTAACTCGAGATCTTCAACATACATTAGATACATAGATAGATAATATTAAAAAGACGAAATGAAACGAAAATCCAGCCACAATTATAAAAAGGGGTAGATCAATTAATGAAAAAAATTCAAAGAATATATTAAAAGAAGGGAAGAAGCAAAAAAAAAAAATTAAAGTTCTTGTGGTCTCACCTTATAATATA